AAGCGCTTATGTTTCAAGCAGTAAGCAAGTTTGGGCGGGAGGGGGGGTGTACACAACAAATGACACATGGCTCACACCCTAAAGGAACTCACTCTTGAGGGAAATATATTTAAATAAATACTTACACAGTGACAGACTAATGCAACCATACAAAAAAGTTGTTCCCCCAAATTAAATGATGAATTGTATTCACCTCGATTGACTCCCCTAAAGTCAAATCATAACAAAGCATTTATTTTGAGACTACATATTCGCTTCATCAGAGAAAAGCCGAGCAGATTCAATGCACCGATTTGCACAGTGCATACAGCATAGAGAAACTTTAAATTTAGTTATTAATGCAAGCACAGGTTGGGTATCTCTGATTGGAAAATCTGAAATGATCCAAAATCCAAAACTTCTTGCGTGCTGGCATGGTGTTCAAAAGAAATGAACACCATGGAACATTCTGGATTGCAGATTTTCAGTTCAGTGATGCTGAACCAGGACATATAATGCAAATATTACAAAATCTGAAAAAAATCCAAAATCTGAAACACTTCTGATCCCAAGCCTTTCAAATAACAGACACTCAACCTGTACAATCTTTGTTCACCAGTAATGCTGACATTCTATATTTATCTTTTTCAAAAGGATAACTTACTAAAGTTTACAACTTGATACAAGATTTTTTTTTCAGTGCAGAAATCAGTGTGGAGGGCAAGTGTGGGCAGGAAAAATTAGATGAAACCATGGATGAGGTTGGTAAACAAAACACGTCATTAAGATACTGTGTAGTTGGTAAGGGTAGGCCATGAATTTGGCTCTGAGCATATAGTAGCAGCAAAGGAAAAAAAGGAGGAACATGACCAGTTCCATGATTCATAGTGTCCATATGACAATTTTTCATGGAACTGAAAGCTGAAATAATTTCTCCATAGGTCCTCCAACACTAGTGTTCACATACTTCCTTTTGAAAATAAATTTCTTTAATGTTACCTATCACTTTGTGCACCTTGCCTATGACATGTACCCTAAACAACAAATAATATATCTGCATTGCTTACTTAAAAAGAAATAAAATTAATATTTGCTTTTGTTATACTCTTTGTGCACAAAGTATCAGGGGTCAGGGGTGTCTTATGTATTACATATCAATGACAACACCCCACCATCACTGTCTAAAGGCTTCACAAATAAGAGATTTGCCTTGATATTTTCTTAGACTGAAGATCTATGGCTGAGACTCTTCCTGACAGAATCATTCAACATGTATTCAAACCATACAGTATGTTTAGTTAACAGATGAGATGATGACAGATTCGATACAATAAATATCCCTGAGTTTTTTCAGGACAAGTTAAAAAATGAAGAATAATGGCAGCAATATTTAATATATAAGCCCATCAACAGCAGAAGAGCCACACAGTTTCTGAAGCACTTTCTATGTGCCGAGTATTATTTAATGTGCCTCACCTACAACTTTACATTTATTGCCGCCAATCCTCAAAATAATTTAAGAATGTTAATATTAACTACATTGTACAGATAAGGGAAGATGAAGATCATTAACCAGCAAATACCTTTATTTTTTAATTTAATATAATGAATTTTCAAACATACATGGGTGGTGAGAATACACTGTAGTAGATCTCAACGTATCTCCAAACCAAGATTTAACAATTATCAAGATTTTTCCAGATTTCCTTCATCTGTCCCTTTTTTATTTCTTTGATAAAATATTTTAAAGCAAACCTCAGTCATATCATTTCACCCCTACAACAGTACCCACTTCTTAAAAAATAAGGGTAGATTCTTATATAATCACAAAGATAAAATCAAATCTCAGTCACTAATCAAAAATCCCCAATTTTCTCAGAAAGTTTTTAGTTTGTTCAAATTAGGATCCAAAGAAGATCCCCACAGACATTTCATTATTTCTCTTAAGTTCCCCTCTCCTCTTTTTTTTTTTTTTTTCCTATCTCTGGATTGTTCCAGAAGTAAATATCTTGTTTTTTAATCAAGATATAATTCACAAAATTCACATGAAACTCACTTTTAAAGAGGATAATTTTAGTATTTCACAAGGCTATGCAACTATCACCACTAGGTAATTCCAGAACATTTTTTATCCCACCAAAAAGAAATCCCTGTACCCATCAGAAGCTTCTCCTCATTCCTCCCCCCACCCCCAGTTCCTTGGAAACTACTAATCTACTTTCTGCCTCTATGGATTTTCATATAAATGGAATCAAAAAAGCAAACATATCTTGAGTGTCCATCACGTTAGATACCACAGAGAGATCTAGGTCAGGTACCAAGGATACATATGACATGGTCCATGTATATAACAGATAAGACAAATGTTCAGTCAATAAACATCAATACATTATAATCTCCATGTGAATGGTACATTATGAATGCTTTCGGTTCATGGTTTTTATCTTTTCCTTCACAAATGTGTATAGGACAAGTAATATTCACATGTTATTCACAAGTATATGGGACACACCCATGGGTTACCCATATATGACAAAAAGTTCAATTTTCTACTGGCCACAGTTTTCACAATGACTAATGGTTAACCAAAAATGGTAGTTCATCATAGTAATGTGGGTAGGTTACACTCAGTGCCTGATCTCTCAGGAAAGCATACCAGAAGGCAGGTCAGAGAAACAGAGATGACCTTTATTTTTTATTTATATTTAGTATGTCATTCACATACGTTGGCACCTGACAAGGAAGGTAGCAGAGAGTTGAGGTTAAGAGTACAGACTGCAGAATCTGCATGTTCTCCAGCATCAGGCCACCTGTGCCACTTACCACTTAATGGCTATGGGACCTTCGGCAAATGATTTAACCTCTAAGTCTCAGTTTTCTCCTTATATCAAATGGGAACACTAACAGGTATGACTGCCTTGAAGTCTACACACAAAGCTCTTGAGATAAACTGCTTACTAAATGCTGGCTACTGGTGATAATAATTATTATTCTTTAACTATTATTAACAAATCATTCACGACACCTCAGAACTGATGGAGCTGCTTCTGTGTGGAGCTTCTAGCATGTGCGAAAGTGACCGCCAGAAAGGAACAGATGAAGCAGCTAAAGCCTCCATGCCTGGGCATACTGACATTTAAAGGCAATAACCACCTGAATTTTGAGAATTTGAAAATCAGATAACTGATTTTCTGCTTCTGTGTGGAGCTTCTAGCATGTGCGAAAGTGACCGCCAGAAAGGAACAGATGAAGCAGCTAAAGCCTCCATGCCTGGGCATATTGACATTTAAAGGCAATAACCACCTGAATTTTGAGAATTTGAAAATCAGATAACTGATTTTCTTCTCTCTCAGCTTCAAAATAGCCTAGACCCCAACACCGACCTTATGAAGTTATGTTTGGTCAGAGAGAAGAATGCAGCTGTTAGAAATCTCCCATCATTAGCAGTGTTCTCTTTCTGGCATATCTGAGATACAAAAATTAATAATACCACAAAGCCACAAAGGGGCAGGGCTGCCAGTGAATCTTACCAGTCCGAGGAGGGAGGGAGGGAGAGAGGGAGGTTTAGCCGGATGGCCACCGGAGGCAGCCCCCATTGGTTATGAGAGCGTACTTGAGAATTCTTCACCTTACACCTCCCTCAGTTGTGTGATTACCTTTCCTTTATATTAATTATCCCTATTATCTTTTTCCACTGTCATTATAAAATCATTTTCCTTGCAATAATAGGTTTAGATAACACTCACTAAAAATTAAGCCTCAAGGAAGGAGATAAGGGTCAGCAAAATTTTTTTCTTTTGCATCACAGTCACAGAAGCAGTAAGCTTCCCTTTCACTTCTATCTGCTCTCAGGGCTCACATACAGCATGAGAAAAGAAGGTGATTTTGCCACCACTCCATTACTGTTTCAGTTTAGGAACTAAGGCAAAACATACAATGAGAGCTTCAAAAGTTTTATGTAAACTGCAGGCATCTATTCCTTAGGGAACATGGACCCTCTACCATGATAGATAGAAAAACTCCTCTGTCCCCACACCAGAGACCCAAGGAAGCTGTTAGAAGGAATTACAACACCCCCTAGAAACTTTCAGATTGGTGGGTGGGAGGTACACAACCACCATGAAGCTCATGGCACAAAATAAAGTTACTACCAATTACAGTGGAATACCACATACCATTTAAAAAAATGGGGTAGAGACATATATACAGCTGACTCTTGAACAACACATTTGAACTGTGCAGGTCCACTTATATGCAGAATTTTTTCAATAAATACCCCAAACTTCAAAGTCTTACCAGTGGAGACCCTCTGGTTCCCTTTCCCCATCAGATCTGAACACTGGTCTTGGTGGTCATGAAAGGAAGAAAAGTAATACTGAAGCTGGACTCACAGTGTTGTAGTCTGGTACATAGCATATAGGCTAGTTTCAAACAGGTTTAAAAAGCACACACACAAAAAGTGGACTGCTAAGGTGTAGATTTGGAGAATAGAATGAAAGGAAATGGAGAATTTCACCTTTTGTTTTATTTCCCTCTGAAGAGTCTGAATTTATTATAATGAATGAGTTAATGATAAGATCAGCTACAGAATTGCCAAAATCTGAAATTATTTTATCAGATTAAACAGTTCTTTATAAACAATTTACCTTCTTGCATGAACATGCATCAATTTTCAAGAATAGGAAAACCAGTTAAATTAGAGGTCCTGCATTATTCAAGCAGCTAAACTGCTATGTAAGGTAAATGGAGAAATAAATCATCTAAATTTGGTTTGCCCTCTTGACCATATTTCCAAGAAAATCTAATAGCAAAATGCTTCAAAATAAAAGAGAATATTTTAGTTAATTGAAGAATAAAAGAAGTCTTTTTCTTTCAGTTTTTTCCTTTGGTGATAAACAGGAAAACAAGGAGTCACAAAATAGAAATCCATGCATCTCCTAGGAAAAGTCCAACATATTTAAGGGAGAAATCTGGTTCTCTCCTTTCATTACATTCTTGATAAAAGCATCACTGTTACTTACCTGATCACAAATCAGTTCCCATTTTTTCTCATTGTCATATTGCCGCAGTAACCTGGCTTTGTCAGGAGGTAGGTTCATAGCATTCTGTGGGGGGAAAAAAAAGAGATCTGTCACATTCCACAACAGGCTGCTAATGGGTAACTCACAGGCAAACCAAAGATAACTACTGTGGTTCTTTTATGACTTCCTTTCAATTCCTAGTATCTGATTAAACCAAAACAATCTGAAGAAGTCATTTAAACATCAAATTGGTTTAATGGGAGGAGGGAAATTCTGAAGTTCTTTGTGGAACATGTGAGGTGGTCTGATTTGAACAATCAAATGTGCATTTCAGCAAAGGTGATGCCCATTTCTTCATTTAACAGCGAGCTCCCTTTCTACTCAACAAAAAGGTCAGAAGTGGTTGTTCAGAACGTATTATCCCAATTTCTTTTTAAAGCACTGTAGCCCCACGACACAGAACAGATTACCAAGAGAAAAGTCAATGACCAAAACCACTGACAGATGGCATCAACTTTATGCCTCTTGATATTTTTTTTAAATGACAATGCTGCAACTGTTTTTTGTCCCCTCTGTGAGATGACAGCATTTCTTCAGCACATGTTAACATTAGCAACCACAATTCTCTGTTTAGCTATATTGGTTTATGAAGTTGAGTTTGCAGTGAGAAACCGACCATAAGTTACATGAGATGTCTAGACATGACACTCATATAACCCTCTCTTAACAAAGCACACCTTCTGCAGTGTTGCTCATGGATGTGCCCAGGTACATTCACCTGTTATGAGTCTAATATCCCAAATGACCAATCATACACATTTTCAAGATACTTAGAGTTTGGGTCTGAGGTGAAATAATTGGTGACAGAACACAGCAGAGAGAGAGAGCCCCAGAAGGAACTCAGACCTGTTCCCTTGGCCTTTCCAAATTTCCCACGCTCTAAACAAGCAGTCATGCTAGGTGGTCAATTAATGTATTGTGTCTATTAGTTGTCCTGTCTATGGCCCAGCATCAACACCCTAAATCATACCTATCCCTAAATTAACAATGCATTTCACTGTCTGGGTCAATATTTCCCTAGACAAATGCAAAGGTCTTGAGCTTTTAATGCTCAGGCCCCTAGATCTCTGAAGGACTTGACTTACAGAGAAACAATTCCCCTTGCCATGGTTACTGTCTCATGTTATAAGGTGAAACGAATTTACTAGAGAAAAGGGTGGGTGAGCTATTCCGACTTAATGGCAGAGAATCAACCTCTGATGATTTCGGTAGATTTAACCTAAGCATTTTCCCTTAAACTCCATGTAACATCCAGATCTGTATGCCTTAAGTATATCTACCACCTATTAATTTGAGTCTAACCCATCAGATTTTAGAATAACCTGTCTTTGGAATATTTAATTTTTTAAACACTCCCAAAGCTGACAAATTAAGTTGAAGAGCTTTGAACTCCAGAGTTTTCAATAGTACTGCTAACACTTCTTAGATACAGAAATATCTAAAATGTGAAAAATGTTTTCATATGGCCTATCTCCATGGAATATCTATTTAAACTAGGAAATGTCTACTCATCATACTTATTAGTTATTACAATTTAACAATATTAAACAACAATCTCTGGAATAAGGCCAAGGAGAATTCCATGTGTATCTTTCTGAGGGGCTCAATGTTATTTACCATTAAATAACCAGTCCATCATTGTTTATTTACACCCTAGAGATGGACTTTTTCCTGTTAAACTGGTTTTGGCCCTCCTGTTAGTGCCCTTGGGTATGATTATGCATTAAGTAAGAACAAGAAGATTATGAGATAAATTAAATGAGGGTTTTTAATCTCTCGAAATATAAAGGGAATATGATAAAGAATGCCTGAACTCCTACAAGGTGCCAAGCACTGTACTAAGCACTTTGCATATGTAATCACACATAACCTTCCTAATCAGCATGTGAAAGAGATATCACTTTCCTCATTTAATATATGAGGAAACAGACTTGGGAGAACTTGGTTAACTTGCTCAAAGTTGCACAGCTTTACATGAACAAAACAGGAACTAAACTTAGTCTGTTAGACTCCCAAGGACAAACTCCAAAGGTGCCACCAAGCTTTTTTTGGCAGCAAGGCAAAATAGCAAATAACTTACAACCTCTTATTAGTCCTCTAGACGCTCCTATGAAAGCAGACAGCAAACAGAGCTACATGAATTCGATGCAAGCCCTGTTGTTACTGCAAATGCAAGATGCTCCTTCTAGACCAACTTTTATGTTGATGAAAGTCTTTTATTCAACAAATGTTTAGGAAGTACCTGCCCTTGCACAAGCACCATTCGACACACTGGGTGCCACAGTGGGAAACCAAACAGATATGGTCCCCATGGAGCATTATACTATGGTGGGGAGACTCATATGAAAAAACAAAAGCTTCTAAAACTCTGGCAAGTCTTGAGACAGGTTATCAGAGGGTGGCTTTAGATTAGACAGTCCGGAAAGACCTCTCAGAAAAAAGTTACAAGTAATATGAGTCCTAAAAAAAGAGGAGTCGGCCAACTGAAAAGCAGATGACAGAATGCCGGGCAGAGGAAACAGGGAGAAGACTCTAAGACAGGAAAGGGCTGGGCACATTCAAAGAGCCGCATGAAAGCCAGCAGGGAGAGAAAGTAAAAGAGAAGGAAGAAGAAAAGACAAAGTTGGAAAGGTGAGTCAGTCATACCATGCCCACCCATGCAGGCCAGGGCCAGTGCTTTTTTTTTTTTTAATCTTCTTTCTTTCTTTTTTTTAATCTAAAGAGCAATGGGAAGCCATTGAAGGCTTTTAAGCAGGGAAATAACGTAATCAAGTTATTCGGAAAGACCACTGTAGGTACTATGTGGAGAATCAATTCGAAATAGCAGAAGTAGAGGGAGGGAGGCCAGGGAGGATGCCAGAGCAGTAGTTCAAGTGAGTGATGGTGGCTTGGATGAAGCTGATGGCACATCAAATGGAAAAAAGTGCATAGACGTCAGAAATACTAAGTGAAACTGATTGTTTAGACTTCAAGGTTGGCGAGGATCCCAAGAATTAGTACCTTGTTTCTAGCTTGAGTCACTAGGTGAACGGTGGTCCATTTAATGAGACAGGCATACAGCAGATGGCAGTATAAATCTGGAGGAGGTGGTGAAGAATAAGGTTTCTAAATGACCCTGCCTAGATCTGAGATAGCTATAGGTAGACAGACACACAATTCTGGAGGTCAGAAGAAAATCCTGCATCTCTGACCAAGAAGAGTCTTAAGAAGTCTTTTGTAGCCTGATGACTAGTTACTGTCAGAAGAAGTAGCTCAACATCAATACATCAAAACTAAAGCTGCACTGGGTAATCATTCACCAAGCATTTAAAACAACCCCTCTCATGGTTTGAGCTGCTGAGCTGCGCAGGCATACATTGTACAGCTTAATAATTCTACAGGGACCATGAGGAAGCAGCTCCATTAAAAATCAGACACTCCATAGAGGCCTGGCTAAAGTTCAGGGATGTTGTGATTAGCTGGTAATAACTGCTCTCAAACTTCTTTAGAGTGAACTCATTCCTCTTGTGCTATACAGGGCAGGACTCTAGCATCCAAGCTAAATGTTTGCGCAGGTAATTCATAAGAGTCCAAGTTATTTTCTGAGGAAAATATTGGCTCTATCTTCAGGTCCCTTTGCTGCCTATATAAAATTGGATTGCTCAACTATTTGGCTGACAATGTAAATCAACTTCCAAGTTTTCCTCACAGTGACAACTCTACCTCACCCACCCTTAGTGATATCTGTGACGCAGGGCTCTCCTTTCCTTCCTTTCATCCATCAATCCATCCAACGTTTACAGGGCTTTGGCCATGTCCCAGCATATCCCCACTGTAGGCGTCAGAGAATTTCATCACGAAGTTGCTACACACAAGTACCTGCCAAAGATCCACTGAAGACATACGATACTTGAGTTGAAAAGTTTACTAGATGTTAGTTATCTATTTTCTAGATTGTACAAGTTCCTAGCTAAAATAAAATTACCAAGAGTATTCTTTCTATAAGGAATGTCCCTTTCCTTCCACTCTCAACCTGGCAAACTTTAAGAATCAGCACAAATGTCATTTATTATTAGAACCTTCCCCCAACTACAGCAAAAAGACATGAACTCTGGTTGGGCTTCAAGAGCACTGGATACGTGTCTCCAGCAAACTGCACCCTAATCATCTTTTGCCTACCTCTACTCCCTACTGGACTAAGTACGTCAAGGACAATTTTTATTGTTGTTGTTAATCACCAATGTCTGGCACAGTACGGTACACAGTAGGCCTTACGCAGGTTGATGGATAACTGAAGAGCAAAATAACTCAGCCATACTGTCCAGCCTGAAAATATCTGCACTCATGTAGGGTTTATGCTTTAGCTATTAACAACGTCTATACACTAAAGAGAACTTCAGTTTCTTGTAAAACATCAGTCAGTGATAATGTACTTATTATTTTCCAATAAAAATTCATGTGGAAAAAATCTTCAAGTTCAATTCTAGCAACATTTTCCTGAAAAGAAAAATGACATTTTAGGCATTCTTTTCCATACATATAATAAAGCAAGGAACCTGAACTTTGTTTTTTTGCCAGTTCTCAGATTAGTATCAGCTATAATAATTAATCCACCCCAAGTGGTAGTTACAGTTACAATCTCTACTCTGGTTTTATCCTTAACTGTACTGTTTTACATGTTTTTAAATGTGTTTACTATAATAATTAATCCACCCCAAGAGGTAGTCACATTTACAATCTCTACTCTGGTTTTATCCTTAACTGTACTGTTTTACATGTTTTTAAATGTGTTTTCCATCTTAGAACCTTTTGAAAATAGAAGGCCTAACTACTAAATAAATAATAATAGAATATCCAAATTTGAGTAGTTCATGAATTAATTATTATGGTTAAAAAAAAGTCTATGAGAGTCTATACATGTAAAGTTACACTTACAGATCAGTTATCATGTATAACAGAGCAGAACAAAGGTACCCAACTAACTCAGAACCAAATAAATCTATGTCTTAGGAATACAGGGTTTTCTGATATTAGCTCTT